CAGTCTCTTGTTGGCGTATGTGAACCCTGTGTGGATTGTCCCACTCGATATAGTCTTAAGTCATAAGCTTTTTAAGCACACATGGATAGTGGCGAGCAGTGGAATCCAGGATGCAAGTTTAATCTGGACTCAGTAATTAAATAGACAACGCGGTGGCATTTGAAGCGAACTGTACTAGGTACAGAACGTTACTACTAGCCACTATCCTTGTTTGCTTAAATTGACATGTTATTTACCATAAGTTAAATGAATGAAGAAAATATATTTCCCCCAAATAGTTTATACATATATACATAGATATATATACGATAAGATGACCATCGATGAACCATTCCTTCAATATTTACAGCTATTTCGGGTTCGACCTCTGGTGGGAGGTTCGTGGGTGTGCACTTCTAAGACACCTCACAGTTGGACCTTATGTAGTAAGTGAGAACCCGATCGGGGAAAACTAATTTATTGTTTAGTGCTAAATTACATATGAAAATCATACATTAAATACATGATTAGCATATCTTCCTTCAATTGTCGTTTACATGTTTCATGATTCTTCATGTTCTGTTATTCTTAAAATTGCTCACTGTTTTCTCTCCTGTTATTTTCAATTTATTTTTCTTCTTGGAGGCGTTCCACTTCTGATTGATGTTACATACTACTTATATCTGTCAACATAAGTAGCATACTTAACAGTAGCAACTGTTCAGTGCTTCTTAGTTTTCAATGGTGGTCTAACTTAGATTGACTAGTGAATCCAACTATTGAAATACTATAATCTCCACAAATCCCGATACTGATAGTTTAGTAATACTGTACTACGTAACATATATAAATACCAAATATTCAACTAAGAATATGGACTCATGTTGTTGATGAGTCTCACAATCGGAGAAACATATGTCCAAAGTTTCAGAATTTTCACTTATTTAAATAATCAATATTAATCAAATTATTTATCACGAATATACATAGAAATTTTAAACAGATCTTCATTCCACTGAATGGGAATTTTCTGTGTGTTCCCCCCCCCCTCATGTTTAGTCTCTTTTTCTTACACTTAGATAACGTTTAGTTTCAAAGTACTAACTTTTGTTAAAAATACAAATATTCAATGTTTTTTTAGGAATTTCAATGGTTGAAATCATGAATCAATTGAAACTAGATCACCATAGAAAACTTGGAAGCACTAGACGGCTGTTTCGTCCTGGTATAGGACTCCTCAGCAGTGCGCATCCGCGATCCAGCTTCCCGCAAGATCCTAACCAAGGACCTATCAGTCTCGTGCGCGAGCCCTTAACCATTGGACCACTGAGCCAGCATCCAACGGTGTTACGTGATAGTTAATTATTGACTTTTGGAAACAATAATGATCTTTAGTGTAAGAATGAAAGTTGTATTCTGTACACCACCTATGAAATTGTAAATGTACACTGGTGACTAGTCTGGAGTTGGGCCTAAAATGGAGTTATGAGTGTAATCTATCATATAAAGTTAAAACAGCTATACATTATTGTACTCTTTTAGTAGTATATCAATCAGTGATAAGACGTTCTATTCAGCTTGACACTGATTATTATCAGTTGATCTATCTGGTTTAGTCATTTGCTTAACAGTAGAGGCGTTTATTTGTCATCAGTTTTTGATGGAAACACTTGATTTTATTGTAGGAAGAGATGGATGACGACCAACAGTTATGTCTATGACACACGTTTCGTCCTACATGGAACTCATCAGCTAAATGTACTTACATACCAGAGGTAGTGGTGTTTACTGTGGATGTCAAATCCAGCGTCATTAACTCCAAACGCCATCATGCTATTCACGTGTACGGATCGCCTCGATATTATCTTAGTAACAAATGAAAAATTTGTATTTGTATATATTCCTTGTATTAATATTAAACTCCCATGTTTTTCTATTAAACTATGTCTTTGAAAATTTATCTTGTCACTATGATGAAACAGATAAACTGTAATTAGTTGAAAACAATTACGTATGCGCACACACACATACACACATATACACATACACGTACACAATATATTGGTTATTACGTTGAACAAATAAGGTCAAACTTGTTCGTCTATTGTAAATTACATCTCTTTGTCACTATATCAACTTTCTTCTCTGTAGTTGTAAGAATAACAGTAGTAGTAGTAGGAGTATTAGTAATGAGTTAAGTCTATTTTTCTTATTAATAAATAATGTAACTGTATACATTAATGATATTGCTTTTTAGCAACATTCAATCTGTGAGGTGTTTCTCTCTCTCTCTGTGTGTGTGTGTGTGTTAGTTTGTATATACGTTATGGTTAGGTAACTAGATATATTGAATTGATGAACACTATGAGTCGTTGTATTGTCAACTAAATATGTCGAATGGTTGGTCAAGTAAATTAGGGTAATATCTTTTCAAACAAAGTTACTATTTGAATTGAAGTATTTAATATTTATGTTAAACTTTGAATAACTATTTCTGTTTAGCTTAGTTCAATGGTATGATTCTATGACGAAACATAAATAGGTCATTGGATTGATTTGGATTCTGACTTTACATTGATTGTTAGTATCTTTGATACTGTTGATAGATATTGTTCGTGTTTCCAGGTTAGATATCAATTTTCCTACACTAGTAACTATAATTCAAACACATAATCGATAGAATTCCATTAAGACATGAAAGACTAGATAATATTGTAGTGAACAGAACACGGATGGAGACAATCGAATGTATTTGACACAAAACTACAGGAATTGGTAATAAAATCTAACAATCAAATAGTAAATATGTAATTATCAGAATGGGTTTCGTGGAGATTTTTAGAAATTTCACTGGTTGAAATCATGAGTCAATTAAAGTGAAATTTCTAAAAATCTCCACAAAACCCATTCTGATAATAATAATAATCACCTGTTGACTAGTGTCTGACTTCAATAGATACTCCTACAGCTCCAGTGAGAAGTCGTTAGCAGTGGAGTTCAACAAGGTTTGTTGTGAGATATCAACTCACCGAAGACAATGGTGTACGGTGGCGCAACTTCATGGATTGTTTGAAGTTAGACATTAACACCGTTGGATGCCGGCCGGTTCAGTGGTCTAGTTGGTTAAGCGCCTGGCGCGAGACTGGTAGGTCCTGGGTTCGAATCTCGCAAGGTGCGGGGTTGTGGATGCGCACGGTTGAGGAGTCCCTTACTAGGAAGAAACGGCTGTCCAGTGCTTCCAGATTTTCCATGGTGATCTAGCTTCAATGAACTCATGATTCCAACCAGTGAAATACGTAATTTGCAAAATGTCCATCAATTGTCTCAAAATGACTCAGACTTCACTGTTCTTGCATTTTCATACAAATTACATTCTGTTCCCATTCTTTACTGTTCGATCCTCTTATCTCTCTACTGCCAGACATTCTGTTCCTGACTAATAGCTTATACTAATTATGTCAATATAAATAGCACATACCACAATATGATAGCCAAGTGCTTCCAGACGTTTCCACGATGATCTAGCTTCACAAGTTGAAATCATGAGCCAATTGAAGCTAGACCACCATGGAAAACCTGGAAGCACTAGACGGCCGTTTCGTCCTAGTATGGGACTCCTCAACAGTGCGCATCCACGAATCTAGCTTCAATTGACTGATGATCTCAACTATTGAAAATTACTAGAATATTCACAAAAACCCCTTCTGGTAATAACATATATCTTGTAAATGAAATTAGATACTATGAAAATCATTGAAATAAGATAGTCAAGGAAAGAATCAAAATAATGCTCAGTTGTTTAGTTGAACAAGTTGAAAACTTTATTAGAATAGAAGTTTATCTTAAAAACGACAGATTGAGACGATCTTATTCTGATACTTATATTTAGAAAATACATTTTAGAGGTTCGAGGGGGGAAGGGATTCTATTAATTAAATTTACATAGAAACAAAATGTAAACTACTTTTACTTATGATAAAAGACAAATATATTATTACATTATGATATCAACACAAAAACATGTCTCCATATTAGCTAATTAATATCGTAAGTAAAATAGTAAATTAGCCACTGGAAATAGAAGTATCAGTGTGAGGATTTGTGGATTTTGTAATATTTTAATAGTTGAATTCACGAATCAGTCAATTGAAGTTAGACATTAACATTGTTGAATACCGAGGCAATAGTCTAGAAATTAAGAGTTCACGCACGGATCAAACGGTGTTGAGTTTAAATCCCATATGTGGGATCGTGGAGTTCCATGTTATAACAAAACGACTGTCCGTTACATACAGATCTAACCTCAATAGAAGGATAATAATTTCATATTTCAAAATGTGTCATTTTTCATATGTCTGCTGGTACTATTCACATTTCCATTGAATTATCATTATTATGGAATACATTATAAGAGTTATCCTAGAATATTCTGGAAAACATCTGAGTTAATCTTTTCAAAGATCATTCATGATGCAACAAGTACAAACTAATATATTTTTAGGAATAAACTTGGAAATTTTAAGTTTTCACACGTTTTTTAAAACAGTTAAATGAAAGATTCATTCAAGCATAAATCTAGTTCAACCAAAGTGTGAGGTACTATCAAAGTAGAAATTGTGTTTGTGTAGGTGTTCAAACTAACTAAACCATTCCATTTCATCAAAAAACTAACTTTTTTCATTCATAAATAACAATAAAGATGTAGTTACTAAGATCTAACAACAAATTACATCACAAGGAAGTTTTTTGTGGACATTATAGTAATTTTAATAGTTAAGATCATGAACTTTAAAGCACTGAATAGCCGTTTTGTTCTATTATGGGACTCCCCCAGCAGTGGGCACACGTGATCCCACCTCGTGGGATTCGAACCCAGAACCTATCGGTCTCGCACACGAACGCTTATCCTCTAAACCACTGAGCCAGTATCCAACAGTGTTAATATCTAAATGAATTATATATATTAACACTTTTAAAATAGATTAACTCAAATTGTATGAGAAGAAAAACAGAACACTTACTTAACTGTTGTTACCACATTGATTCTCTTTCTTAATAAGTTGAACTATCCAATTTGTTGGTTTCTTTTGTTTTGTTTGTTTTTTCTACAAACTGATATCAAACAAGTTGAAGAAAAATCTGTTTTTGTTTATTTGTTTTTACAGTTTCACTAATACCTTCGTCTCTGTTTCTTCGTTTGTTTGTTTGTTTGTTTTTGTTCCCAGGATAGATTCAAAATAAACAAACTTCAAGATGGCACTCATATATTCCACAACATGATATAATATTCTTTTTTTTTTAATAATTTTAAATGTTTATTTCCTCTTTTGTGTAATTTGTTCTGACGTTTATTGATTGTCTTACTTTTTTCTGTCCAAGAGTAAAGAAATTGTGTGATTGTGTTGTTGTTGTTGTGGTTGTTATGGTGGTGGTGGTTGTCTATGATGTTTTTTCTCTCTTCTTTCAATTGTAACTAAGCTAATGGATGATGTAATACCTGGTATATATTTGAGGTATCATTACTTGTGTGTGTGTGTGAATGTGTCACAATCACTTCGATCTATTTGTATTGATTATATATTACCAACATGTATGTAATGTCATATTGTAATAATCATAGAATGACGGGTAAGGCGGTTAGTTCTTCATTCATTTAATCCTCTATTGTTTTTATTATTATTATTACTTCCTATTCATTCAATGAATAATGATCCATTTGATTGAATATTAAATAAATATGATTCATAAATTGTCCCATAATTAGCCCCTAACCATATTATGAAGGGATATAATACGGATATAACGTGATTGTGTATTTATATATATATATAAATGGAGTGCGTGCATGTGCGTGTGTGTGAGTGTGTATTTGAACTTTTAACAAGCTATTATTTGATTGGTCAATTCAAATAATCCTATTTTTAGATAATAAATATAAACTATTTGTTCGATATTCAATGTCATTTGAAAACTATTCTATGCTGGCACAATATTTAAAGATTATTTATATAGAATTTTTTTCAAGGAAAAAACACACAACAACAAACAAATATGTTTTGTTGCGATGGTATTCTTCATTCTATAATTTCCAAGGATTTTAATTAAGAAATAACTAAGACAAGACTATAATTTATAAACGAACCAATCAGATATAGGATAACAGGTCTAGGATTTTGGCGCGAAATTCATTCATCCATTTGGGTAAATAAAGTTTAGACATCATAGTTGATGTTAGATCATCCTGAAGAAACTGAAATCGAATCCCTAAGTATAACAATCAACTTAAAATCTTAATCTTAATTCTTAACACTGGTCTATAGCCTTCATTTGGTCCTAGTTTAGTAGGTAGATACTCTCAGGTTTATCATGAATTCTCTCAAAGTTCGTCCATAAATGATAGTCCCAACAGTAAAATTTGTGTATATTGGGAATAATCAAATCATGTTGATTAATAAATGTGTAAACGATACACCAGTTGAAATGGTGGTTGGAGGTATTCAACAGGAAACCCTGGACCTTATCTCTAACCATCATCTAATTACAAAATAGTGCACGCAATGTCGAGTCACTTTGACTAGTGGCCACATTGCAACTTGATCGATAGCATTCGATCTGCACGAAGAAGGACTTGACACACATGATATTGATCATCACCCAGTGATCGATCAATTGTGATACACCAGTTTAAAATATCTAAATATATATAGGGATTATTATTATTATTATTGTGGAGATCAGTTTAGCATAAAAGTGATATTCATTAGCAATTAACCTTGTGGTTTGTACTACTTATATTGATATAAGTAGAATATAACGATAGTCAGGAGTAGAATGTCCGGCAGCAGAAGATCGAGAAGGAAAGAATGAGAACAGAAAGAAATTGGTATGTAAATGAAGGGACAGTGAAGTTTGAGACGATTGGTTGACATTTTACAAATGAAGTACTTACTGTATGATTCTCAGATTTTACTAAGAGATTCTGTAATTTTGGTGTCCAGGTATATTCAATTGTCCCCACTTGTGTTCTTGTTCACTACAACCTTACTTACGGTGCTGAAGTGAACGAGAACAAAAGTGGGGACAATCAAATGTATTTGAAAAAACGAAATTACTGAATTTTGGCGAGACTATAATTTATAGACAAACCAATCAGATATAAGATAATAGGTGTCAGATTTTGGCGCAAAATTCATTCATCCATTTGGGTAAATAGAGTTTAAGCATTAAAGTTGATATTAGATCATGATGAAGAATCCGAAATCTAATCCCTAAGTATAACCATCAACTTTAAATCTTAATCTTAATTCTTAGCACTGGTTTATAACCTTTATTTAGTCCCAGCTTAGTAGTTGAACACTCAACATTATCATGGAGTCTCTCAAAGTTCGTCCATATACTATAGTCTCATCATTTTTGGGTAACTTGTAAGACACAATAGAATAGTCAGTTTTAATGCTAACTTGTATAATTAAAAAGAACGAATATCCTAATTAATCTACTTAATTTGTCAATTATTTGTAAGTACTATACCTTGTCATTGATATACATATTATGAAATTCAATGACAAGACTTTAAGTAAACTACTTTTGACCAGAAGATGGAAACTATACTGAGTTATTTAAAGTCTTAACTATATTTAACAACTAAACAGAATAAATACTTGATGTTGTAGATTGGACAGTTTTAAAATATTTGCTATGATAATTAATGCTTAACTCCGCCTGGAGTCTCTCCGGGGGCTACTGTCGGTCCCAAGCCCGGATAAAGGAGGGGGGTTGGGCATAGGGTTAACGACCCCATCCCGTAGAAAACCAACTCGCTAAAAAAACGCTAACCAGAAAAACATAATTCAAACCTTTAAGTAATTAATAGTTACTAGAAAGGTTTATGCCTTAAATTATAAAAGGTTTTAATTGATTACTTATATTAGTTTATTACTATTGAACAAGGTTTTGTGTAGATTAAATGACTTTATAATTGCTATTCGTTATACAAAAACGTCAGATAAAGCGTCAGTGATATCCAAGCAATAGTAGATAGTTGTTCCATATCGCTATAGGACTTTTCAGTAGTATGCATTCAGGATCTAATATTGCATCGCACCGCCTGTTACTCCTAATGGAGCATAGGCCGCCGACCACCATTCTCCAACACACTCTGTCCTGGGCCTTCTTTTCTAATTCCATCCAATTCTTGTTCATTTTTCTCACGTCTATCTCCATTTCCCGGCGTAATGTGTTCTTTGGTCTTCCTCTCGTCCTTTGGCTTTGAGGATTCCATGTGAGGGCTTGTCTTGTTGGGTGCTTTCCTCAATGTGTGTTCTATCCACTTCCAGCGCTTCTTCTTGATTTCTTCCTCTCCTGGAATCTGGTTTGTTTTCTCCCATGGCAGGTTGTTACTGATAGTGTCTGGCCAACGGATCCGAAGTATTTTGCATAGACAACTGTTAATAAACCCTTGTATCCTCTGGATGGTGGCTTTCATAGTTTTCGAAGTTTCCACCCCATACAGTAGACCTTTCTTGACATTTGTACCGAAAATTCTGACCTTGGTGTTGGTTGACAGTTGTTTTGAATTCTAGATGTTCTTCACTTGCTGTCCAAATATGTAAAGGTTTTTACATCTTCCGAATCTTCGTCATTTGTGATTGGATTGGTGCATGCTGTGTTGTGTCGGAGAATCTTGCTTTTCCCTTTGTGTATATTGAGACCTACTGCTGCTGAGGTTGCTGCTAGACTGGTCGTCTTAGGACCTAATATGAGATTGTATTTTAGAGAATTCGTAAGTAATGAATAGGTGTTCAATAAAACATTGCGTGTAGAATTGTTATTAACGAAACAACAACTGAGATTCATTGACTGGTCATTTTTTCCCTCTTTTTTTTCTTTGTTCTCATTCGTGTTACTCTCAATTTTCATAAAAAAGATCTTTTTGAACTTAAGATGGTTGAATAACATTGAAAGAAAGTTGTGGAACTTTGTTGAACGTTTCCATCTTTCGAAGAATATTCTGTTCATGGATAATTGTAGGTACAAATTATAAGTGAGTGATAAACAGAATGAAAACTTTATTTATCATATTCCTATAGATTACCATTAGCCATTTATTGTGGTAATCATACGTCATATTCAGTCAATGGAATTTGGTCTATACCTTAAAATGAACAGTCTGATATTAGCTACTTAGAATTGACAATCAGGTGTAGACATTAATTAGTGTTTTGATTGAATAGTCATCGTGTCTTCTGATAGAGGTTAATTTGAGGAAATCCATGATTTAATAATCCAGAACTCGGGAGATGTCATCACAATCAGTTACATTCAGCATTTGTAATCCAGCGATCGATTACATATGTATAATCATAAAGCATTACTAGTGTTATAGAAAGTAGTGATTAGGGTTGGTAGTTTATACTTAGTCGACTGCAATCAATGATTTGAAGTCAGTCCAACGATTCGAACAGGAGTGATTCATTAAAACGGTGTAGGATATGTGTCCATGAATTTGTAACGCATCTGTTCTTAAATATTTGATATGTGGGCAATATTAAGTTTTTTTCTCGTTTATTTAGTGAATGAATGCTACATAGATTAGTATAAATTTCACCGAGAATTACATTTCTAGCTCTAACTACCAATCTCTTTGTTTTTTAGTCGGATATTTTGGGATGCCCTAGTGTCATGTTAATCGAAGACATATGTAGACAGTTTTAGATATTTAAAATCAAGTCCCCAGTAAACTATACACCCTTATATACAGAACAGGCACACTGAAAGAACGGAAAAATGATTGAAAATGATCAATATGTTACAGTCATATTGAACACTGATCAAGGATGATGATCATCATACATTAGTGCGTCTCACAGAGTCCAACACTAGAACGAAACGACCGTCCATTTCTTCCAGATTTTCCATGGTGATCTAGCTTCAGTTGATTCCTGTATTCAACTAATAAATTAATACAATATCCACAAAACCCTTCTCTGATTATAATCATTTTTATTTTGCATACTGTCGATATCATACCAAAGGAAAGAATATTCATGTACAGAGTCATTCAGTTATTAGCAGAAGAATGTTTAGTTGAAACGAACATACAATCTGGTACAATAAAGATAAAATGTCTTAATTTATGAAAGTCATGTAAGTAAAATCCATATCAAAGTTTCTTGTTGTAAAAACATGTAGTCAAAATTATTAATAGCTATTAATATGTGATTATAGTTTCGATCTTCTCGTAATGGAAGTGTCTCCTTCAGTATGGTAAAGTTAATCAGTGAGGAATTACACTGATCCTCATGTTTTGTAGCTCAGTATAAACTAAGCCTGTAATGGCTAAAAAAAGGTCTAGTGAAGAAAGTGAACAGCTCCATTTAGCGCATACTGGTCATAAACCAGTATGAGCCATTCTTTCTCATTTATTTTTCGAGTCCGTAGTTTTCTGTCAGTTTATCAGACTCAAAGTTATCCAAATGATAGAAGCAATTGTCATTCGGATTAAAAAAACCGGAGGTATATGTGTAGAAGAAATATCTTCAACTGCTTCTCTTACCTTGGTCAACCTCAGAGTCAATTTTTCATTAGGAATCATAACTATTGAATGTTCTAATTTAGCTAATGTACTTACAACCTATTTTAGACAAATATCACTATCTTTGTTATCATGATTCCCATATCTTTGTATTATCATTATTATTATTATTATTATTATTATTATTATTATTATTATTATTATTATTATTATCAGAATGAGAGTTTGTGGAGATTGTAGTAATTTTAATAGTTAAATTCGTAAATCGAT